TGTTGGGCGATGGATGGGGAGCGAGCCTCCGCTGCTAGCGCGCTGCAGCAGCTGCTGCTGCTGCTGCCGGTGCTGCTGCTGCTGCTGCTGCAGCTGCTGCTGCTGCTGCGGCTGCGGCTGCGGGGCGGAGGAGGTGGCTGGGGATCGCCACTCATGACAACTCCAGTTTGCTGTCGGGCTGCGGGTACGGTAGAAGGTGGCGCGCTCAGACCCTTCTCCACGTATCAGCTGCTGCTGCTGCTGCTGTTTCTGCTGCTGCTGCTGCTGCTGCTGCTGTTGCTGTTGCCGGTCCATTGGCAGCCACGTACTTTCTCTCGGCGGTAGGAAAGAGGAGGAGCCGCTGATGCTGCTGCTGCTGCTGCTGCTGCTGCTGCTGGGCCCCTTAGAGCTTTGCTAATAGGGGGCACAGCCAGCTTAAGCTGCTGCTGCTGCTGCTGCTGGTTGCTGCTGCTTGGCCCCTGTGGTTAGTTGCTGAGGGGGTTGCATGCAACACAGCACCCTTTTCTATGCTTTGTTTGTTTAATAGAGGAGGCAGCAGCTGCTGCTGATGCTGCTGCAGCTGCTGCTGCAGCTGCTGCTGCTGCGGCGGTTTCAACTGCTGTTGAGGCTGCTGTGGGCCCCAAATAAAACCCTGCAGAGACCCCAGGGGCCCTCTGCAGCTACGGAGGCGGCAACGCTCAGGAGCGGACGACGGGGCCCCTAGTACCTGTCAGCAGCAGCAGCAGCAGCAGCAGCAGCAGCAGCGGCAGCAGCAGCAGGAGGTCGAGGTGTGCATGAGGGGGGTTTTTGGGCCCCCCCAGCGTACAGCATGGAGGAGGCCGCGAGGCCCTCTGCAGGTATATGTATAGTTTGAGAGTTTAAAGAGAAAACATCATCAGCAGAATACAGAAAAAAAGAAAAAGACAAATAGAAACGAGCAGGGGGCCTCTTGAGGAATGGCTGTATGGAGAGAGGCCGCTGGGGGACTCGATGCAGCAACCGCTGCGGTGTGGGCCCCTCTGCTTCTTTTATATTCAACTTCTGGGGTTTATATTCAAAAAAAAGAAAGAAAATACATTTACTGCATGCAGAAGAGATGCCAGAAAGACAGTTGTCACCGCCACGACGCGCTGGGGCTGTACTCGCTGCCTGTCCGCTGCAGCAACGCAACAGCTCGGCAGTCGATATATTTTAAAAGTGGGAATACAAGTTAAGAGGAACTGCTACTGTCGCCTCTTCCTGCTGTACGTACACCCCAACAGTCAACAGCTCAGCATCGAGACCCCCCAGCGCTCGCGGGGAGGCGGCAGCGTCTGTGTCCGCGGCTGTG